TGTCTCTGAGACGTCTTCTCTGGCTCTGTTTACATGCTCTTTTGGGAACCTGTATATAAACTGAGTTGAGCATTTATCTCGCTACACACCAACCTGTTTACTTGTCTCTCTACAGACGAGGACGCACACTGTTTGGCTCACCATAGCCTTTTTTTGTGTCTGGCATGAGGTTGAAGTTCAAAAAATGTGTTGAACAAATAAATAGACACATCATCCCATATTTAGAGCCTTCTTGATCACCCAGGGCCCTTGCCTCCCAGGTATAGGCCTCTTTCTCTGGGGGAAAGTCATAGCTGGGTGGATCTGTTTTCTGTGTATGTCAGGGACCTCCCTTCCCAGCACTGCCACTGATACTACTGTCTCTCTGCCTTCCCCGCCTATAACATCAGGTACAGTCATTTCCAGAATCCTCTACCTGGACTTGTTCTCTGAGTGCTATCTGGATCTGGCCTCCATCTGAAATCAGAGGATGCCAGGAATTACCTTTAGACAACGTGGCAGCTACTCAGCCCAACTTCTTCCACTTCAGTCGAGCCAGCTGTCCTCACACACACTGTCTGCTCTCATTTTTTATTTTTTTCTCAGGTGTGATGGGAGCATTCAAAATGCATTTAAGAAATATGTCTTCAATTTTTTTTTAATTGAAGTGTAGTTGATTTACAATATTGTGTTAGTGTCTGATGTACAGCAAAGTGATTTGGTTGTTCATGTACTTTTTTTCCTATTCTTTTCCATTATGGTTCATTACAGAATATTGAATATAGTTCCCTGTGCTATATAGTAGGGTCTTGTTGTTTATCTATTTTATATACTTTAGTTTGTATCTGCTAATTCCAAACTTCCAATTTATACCTCTCCCATCCCTTTCCTCTTTGGTAACTGTAAGTTTGTTTTCTATGTCTATGAGTCTTTCTGTTTCATAAGCAAGTTCATTTATGTCATATTTTAGATTCCACATGTAAATGATATCATACGGTATTTGTTTTTCTCTTTCTGACTTACTTCACTTAGAATGATCATCTCTAGGTTCATCTGTGTTGCTGCAAATGGCATTATTTTATTCTTTTCTATGACTGAATAGTATTCCAGTGTATGTGTGTGTATGTATATATATCTTCTTTATCCACATCTTCTTTATCCAGTCATCTGTCGACAGACATAGGTTACTTCCATGTCTTGCCTTTTGTAAATAGTGCTGCTATGAACACTAGGGTGCATGTATCTTTCCGAATGAGAGTTTTCTCTGCATATATGCCCAAGAGTGGGATTGCTGGATCATATAGTAACTGTACTTTTAGTTTTGTAAGGAACCTCCATACTGTTTTCCATAGTGGCTGTACCAATTTACATGCAATGAAGATTTTAAACCTTTCTCAAAAATGGCCTACTGTCTGAAATAACTGCATGCTAACTGCAATAGGAACTTTTGAGATTCAGATTTAGCACTTTAGTGGTAAAACACTAGTATTTTTGTTGATGATGGTATAAGTCTGAGTCCAGTTGAGAGAAACCACATAGCAATTTGAACACGGAGAAATTTATGTAAAAGAATTATCAACTATAAAAGGGAATTGGAGAAAGAAGGGATTGGGTTGTGTATTAGTATCCTAGGGCCACCACGGCAAATTACCACAAACTGAGTGCATTAGGACAATACAAATCTATGCTTTCATAGTTCTGGAGACTAGAAATCTGAAAGCAAGGCATCAGCAGGACCACACTCCCTTCGAGACCCTAGGTAGAATCTTTTCTTGCCTCTCCTAGCTTCTGGTGGTTGCTGGAAACCTCTGGCATTCGTTGGTTTGTAGATGCATCACACTAATCTCTGCCTTTGTGGCTACAAGGCATTCTTCCTGTGTGTTTCCCTGTGTGTCAGCACATTGCCTCCTTTCCATGTGTCTGGGTCCAAATTTCCTTCTTACAAGGACACCAGTCACTGGATTGGGGCCCACCTGAATCCAGCATGACCTCATTGATTATATCTGCAAAGACTGTTTCCAAATAAGGTCGCAGTCACCAGAACTAGGGGTTAGGACTTGAGCACATCTTTTAGAGGGACACAATTCTGCCCACTACAGATAGTCAGAAGTAAATTCTAAAGTTTGCAGGAATCACAGATACAGGAGCAGCCACTAGCCCTCAGCTGGAGATACAGCACCCAAGAAAGAGCCTCTGCCTGTGCCCCCCAGGGGGGTTGAGTTCCAGGACTTTTTGGAGAGAACACAGAAGTCAGTGGAGTACCACTTTGGTGGAGCTTGCTAGAAATCCATCCCCTGGAACTTGCTGGAAATCTTCCCTCTAAGGTGCCAGGGGAAACTGTTCATGGTAAGGTGTCTCACCAGAGGCACTGCCCTACAAAACTGTCCAAGGGGTGTACCAGGGAGAGCTGCTGGCCACTGGGTGTTGCTGGCCACTATGCAGCACAGCGGCCTGCCAACAGGCTGCATGGAAACCAGGAAGCAAAACCCTTTCTTCCTGCAATCTCTCCGCAGCTCTCTACTGACAAACCTTAATACAATTCTAGCTGGCAAAGAAAAAAAATATTTAAAGGGCCCAGATCTGTTTTCACAGAGCAGGCAAAAAGAATGAATTTTTTTCTGAGAGGTAATAAACTAATAACTGGCACAGTGACATACCACTGTTTCAGATATTAATAGGCAGCTCCCTTCACCCTTCTTGGCTCTCTCTCCAGTCCTCCCAACCTTCTCCCGTCCCTTGACATCCTCACCATAAAGCCTATCACTTTACCATTTGGTTCCTCCAAACTTGACACCTGCCTATCCTACTCCACCTCAGAAAGGACAAAGATAGAAGTGGTGGCAGGTGGTTCTCTTAGACTGGGGAAGAGAAGGAGTTAGACCATGGGCAGGACTAGCTTCTTCAGATAAATAGTAATTCTACCCAGTAGCTCAAGTAGCTGACCTCAGTGGAAGAGCCCCACCCTAGAGGTGGTCTTGAAGGCTCCTCACCAGGGCAATTAAATAGGGCAGGAATGTGCTGGCATCTGGCTGGACTAAGTACTTCA